TGAGTAAAAGAGAACAAAGGAAATTTTACAGTTGGAGGGAGAGTCAGAAAGAAGCACATAGATTGGTTTGGCAAGAGATTTGTGAGAACAAGGTGAACTTCGATAAGAACTTGTTTCGAAAATTTCATTTATATTCATGAGTGTAAAAGCTGTTATAGATTCAGGCAAGAGAAAGGGGATGAAATATTTTATTTGTTTTATTTTTTATGTGTATGAGTGTTATGCCTGCATGTAGGTAAGCACATCCGTGTCATGCAATGCCCATGGAGGACAGAAAAGGCTGTCGGATCCCCTGGAACTAGAGTTACAGTTGTCAGCTGCCATGTGGGTGCTGGGAATTGAACCTGGGTCTTTAGCAAGAATAGTCAGTGTTCTTAACCGCTGAGCCATCTCTCCAGGCCTGGCAGTGAACTGTTTAAAAACCATGTTTCTGAGGAGGGAAAGAAAGGGAACATGGTAGCTGGGTGCTTGAAGTTGGGAGAGGATGGTTAACAGACAGGAGTTTGGGGTTTGCTAAGATGGAACTTGAGGATTTTTAAATGTAAATATGAATTGGAGAAGTTGGTTGAAATGGATTTGGTAAACATAAGGACTAACTTACAGTTTTGAGATTTCTTTGAACCTGAGTTAAGGTTCAAACCATATAGGATTTTAGATCTTAGACATTAAGTGGAATAATTATGTTAAGAAACAGAAAAGGCTGGCTTCACAGATTTGATGGAGAAAAAGAGCTTAAACAACTCCCCTCACCAAATGGAAGAGCACTCAGAAGAGGTTACCTACGCCTTGGGAAAGGATGGAGAACATTTCAGTTTGTGGTTTGTTTGTTGTTGTTTTTTTTTTTGCCTTTTTGAGACAGGGTCTCCCTGTGGTCCCAGCTTTCCTGGAACTCACTATGTAGACTAGGCTGGCCTTGAACTCACAGAGATCCACCTGCCTCTGCCTCCCGAGTGCTGGAATCAAAGGTGTGCTCACCACTCCTGGCCAGTCTGTTTTTACTATTCATTCCAGATACCTTTTGGTGGTGGCAATTTACAGACTGCTAGAAAGAAGTATTGACAATTAAACATTGAAGTATATGCTCCCTGGGGTCACTTATGTAGTAATATTTTCAGAATGCCTTCACTGGTTGTCTAGAATTGGGAGAATTTTCTGTGGCTTTGAAAAATGCTTAAAACTATTAGAATAAAGCATTAGACTGTATAAAGTATTCTTTTGTTTCCTCTAGGATAGGTGATAATAAAATGAGTTTTTTGGTAGTGAAGTCAATTTTTTTTTTTTTTGTCTTTTTGAGACAGGGTCTCCCTGTAGTCCCAGCTGACCTGAACTCACTATGTAGACCAGGCTGGCCTTGAACTCACACAAGGATCCGCCTGTCTCTGCCTCCCGAGTGCTGTGAAGTCAATTTTTAAAATGTTTTTGTAGATTCATCTAATCATTAAATCCTTTCGTATTAGGTAGCTTGTAGACAGAGGTAGGCAAGGCCTAATCCTATGTCTTACACAGGATATGGATGAATCGGTCAGTGATTCCAGTATACTACAGGACTACAGGGATCTAAGAACTCCAGGTAGAGAGGAGGAATATGTGTTTTTTTTCTGATGAGATCATAGTTATCATTAGACTGATGTTAAACTATCAAACTATATTAAGAACAATTAATACATATACTACAAAATGCTAAGGGTGGTGAAGGGAGATTTGAAATGGGAGCACACATGATGTACAGAAAGAAGGTCCGAGGTGGTGTGAATGGGCAGTGGAAGGAAGTGAGGCAGAGACTGAGGATAAGGAGGTGTGGAAGGAGGGAGTAAAGAAAGATTTCCAGCGGACAAATCAGTTTCTGTAGTTAAGGTCTCTAAAGCCTGAGAAAGCATAAAGAGTTTAAGAACTGAAAGTATCTCTTCTAACTTGATTTGAAAAATTGAAATTTTCTTTATTATCAAGGAAAGCATTTGTCAGAAAAGGTGAATTTGTAATATTTACTAAAAGGTAGAAATCTGTAGAGAGAGTTATCAGGCTTACTACTTGCAAAGGTATTTTGCCAATAGTTCCTAAAACAGGATCATTACAAAACTAGCTAACAAATAGGAATGCCCTCTTGTTAAACTAAAAACTTTAAAAGGAATTTGAGCAGTTTAAGAAGTCGAATTTAAAATAATCATGTATAAGTTTTGATCTCAGAGGGACCTTGTAAGTACTAGACATTTTCATTTAAATGCTTTTTTTTTTTTTTTGAGAGTGAGTTTGTATGTATCTGTGTGTGTGGGTGCTCAGGCAGGCAGAGGAGGAGGACATCTGGTGTCCTGCTCTATCAGTCTGCCTTGAATAGCCTCTGAGCCTACAGCTAGACTGCCAAGACCAGTAAGCCTCAGCAATCCTCCCATCTCTGTCCTCAATGCTGGGGTTATAAAGCACCTGCAAGGAACCAGCCCTGGCTTTTTACTTGGGTTCTAGAATTTTGAACGGATAGCTTCATCCTTGCTCAGCAGGAAGTCTTGCCTGCAGAGCCATTTCCCAGCCCTTAATTTTATTTTCAATTGACATAATTCTATTTATAAGGTAAAGTGAGATGTATTTAACATCGACATCACCTGACACATTTATCTTTTTTTTTGTGGCAAGAATATCCAAAATCCTTTCTTCTGGCTATTCAAATACTTCAGTAACTATAGTCACCCTGCTATATAGAAGTCTAAAATTTTCTTGGGCTCATCAGAGAAAAGTGTAAATACAATTTTTAATACTTGTAGATTGTTATATTTTCTTCTAATTGTCTGAAAGATAATTTTATTTACTGCCTGTACTAATGTTTCCTAAAGTATATTTTGAGTATGACAGATACTAGGGAGAAGTAATGCTGTAGTTAAACATACTGAGGAAATTATGGGTTAAACAAAATTAGAGACAAGATTCATCTTTGGATTTCTCAGAGGTTTTACTACCACTGTGATATTTGAATCTCCAAAGGAAGAACATATTACACATAATCTGTTTGATGCATATTTTATTAAGGACCTCTTTTTCTAGAAGTATTCATTCTGCTAAGAGTTTTTGACCACGTAAAATACATACACTAGACTGCTGTTTTTACTTATTAGTGTGATAGTATGGCTCCATGTTACCTTCACAACAGGAGTACCTTGTGATAAATAGATTTGTTTCTCTCATTGGATCCAACTTAGAAAGATGCTTAATTGCCAACTTTAAAAAATATTCATGCTATTCTTAAGAGCATAATAAAGTCTAGGGATGTAGCTCAGTGATAGGATGCTTGCCTAACATGCTCAAGGCTAGGAGTTCTATTGCCAGCAGAGGAAGGGGAAAAAGCAAGAATTTAACAGATAATACGGGATAGAATGAAATGATTTCTCAATTCACGTGCCCTCCAGTGTTATTTTTAAGGAATTTATATTAAGATTGCCATTAATGGGTAAAGATTTTTGAAGCTTGGTATGAAGGTCCCTTTTCATTCATACAAATATTGCGATTTCCTACATTTCTGTGAGTTTGTACTCTATTGGTATTTTCCATTAGCATATTAGAAGCTTAGTACACACTAATATTAATCTAATTTCATGCTGATAAAAGTATATAATTATTTTCCAAAACTTTTGGAGAATGGCATTGTTTTATACTTCTGTGAATCTTTAATATCTGGCTTACTTAGACTGTTAAGAGTCTTCGTTGAATCTGTTGTGACATCAGCAGTCATGTGTATGTGGTCTCTCGAAGCCTCTGCCATGCATGCTTCTGAGAAGATGACAGTGAACAAGTAAATGATTCATATTAGTTGTAGTTTTTACCTGAAGAATCAGAGGGCCGGGTTGAGATGGGACCCTAGAATATGCTTTAAGAAAGGTACCTTACTAGAATGATTAGATTCAACAATGGGACTTTTTGTAATTTGATAGATAACGTAAAGCAATATGATTTCCAGTGTTGGCATAATTTAATCAGTGTTGTGAAGCTGTTCCTAAAGTGGTCCATTTTTTTCATAGTAGGTAGGTTTATTTCATTGTTGAAAGCAACAGTTAGAATTTTGCTTTTTTTCATTAAGGGTTTTTGGTAAATTATAAAATTTACCATAGATGGGGGCTGGAGAAATAGTGCACCGGTTAAGAACACTGACTGTTCTTGCAGAAGACCTGGGTTTGAATCCCAGCACCCACATGGCAGCTAACAACTGTCTGTAACTCCAGTTCCAGGGCATCTTCTGTCCTCCGTGGGCATTGCACAGTATAGGTGCACTTACCTATGTGTGGGCAATACACGCATACACATAAAAATAATAAAAAATAATAAAGTATATTTTAAAAAAAATTTACCATAGATGGTATATTAAATATCTCTATATTTTGTAATGAGAACTTAAAAAATTGTCTTTAATTCTAATTTTGGAGACTTTATAATAGCAAAGTCTCAAAACACTGATTTTACAGTTTTTTACTTGTTGCTTAAGTTTTGAAAATACAATGAATTGAAGTGTATCACATGCTATATTGTTTTCTATTGGAGGAGAGCGTTCAGAGTTTCCATCCCAGGCTAGCCTCAAGCTCTTCTGCACGTGGAGGATCTACAATTGCGAAGTGTTGAGATTATGAGTATGCATCACCAGGCCCCAGTTATGTAGTGAGATAAAAACTCAATACTTCATGCATTCTAGGCAAGCCCTACCAATTTAGCTAAATCCCTAGCCTTAATGCTGTATATTTTTCATTGTTCATTATGAACTGCATCTGTTAATTGATGTAATATACTATATTTATTTAGTTTACATTGCATTTATAGTAACTTTTCCCCTCTCAGTGGTCTGCAGGATAGGATGTGTTTTATTCCGTGAGTTAACTGGTTTAACAAAATCAGAACATTGTTCCTGAGTGAAAACTATGTTGACTAGTCAAAGCAAAGTGCATATTTTAAAAAATGTTTTATGTAACATTACATAGCAAATATTTTGTTTGTGACATAATAGGTATTGTTCATCTTTGACTTCATAGGTGAAGTATTACAGACATCTTGCACCTGATCACTTGCTGCAAATCTGTCATCGACTAGGGCCTCTTCTTGAGCAAGAAATTCCTCAAAGTGTCCCTGGAGTACAAACTTTATTAGGAGCTGGAAGACAGTCCTTGCTACGCACAAATAAAAGTATGAATATTTCCTAATATAATTTATTTTTTCACTTCTTTGCATCTTATTTATAAAAATGCATGTGTTTTAATAGGCTGTAAGCATGTGGTGTGGAAAGGATCTGCTCTGGCTGCACTGCACTGTGGCAGACCCCCCGAGTCTCCAGTTAACTACGGTAGCCCACCCAGCATTGGTGAGTTGAGTTTACTGTAGTTATTCATAACCTCTTGGTAAACGATTCTTGAGAATAAAGAGTTCTTAGTGTGATAGCAGCAGGTTTCATATTGTATATGGCAGTATTCAAGGATGAAAAGCCTCTCAGCTTGTCTTATGTTAATAAATTTAGTAGTGAAGTTGTGATAATGTGAAATTGTAGATAGAGATATTGTTCCTTATTTAGACAGATCCAGCTATTGGTGCTTTAATTAAAAAATCTTGACTATAATTTATATTACTATATCAAGTTAATAAATATCATAATTCAAGTTAAAATATTAGTAAACGGGTAATTGGCTTGTCTTAATAAGCACTCTGCATATTTTTGTCTATAAAGCTTCAAAGAAGATAGGTCTTTCTCTTGAATTGCTTTTTAGACACATCTTTTCACCTCTATTACTGGGTTTTGCCTTTTCAATGAATAGACTTCGTGGTTCTGTTGTCTCCTTTCTCCTTCCAGTACGTTGTCGAACACTAAACTACCTTTGCTCCCCAGGTAGATTATATTTTAGAGATGTTGTATTTCATTTTCAACCGTGTCAACTCCCAACTTTGTTCAGAGACCTTCTATGTCAGTCATAGCTTCGTCCCTCAGTTCCACTCTCCCACCTAATGCTTTTGTTTGTGTGTTTGGTTTTTGTTTGTTTTGAGACAGGGTCTCCCTATAGCCCCAGCTGGCCTAGAACTTGCTACGTAGACCGGACTGGCCTCAAACTCACTGAGATCCGCCTGCCTTTGCCTCCCAAATGCTGGGGTTAAAGGCGTGTGCCATCGTGCCCTGAACCTTACCTAAAAAGTTCTCATTCTTTTAAAGTAATCTCTCTGCTTCATTCTTTCTACTCCTCTAGAATGTCAGTTGGACAATGCAGACTCCGGTCTCTGTTTTTCTCTCTTGTGTGTTGCATTGTTTTTCCTTTCCATGATGCATTCTGGGTCATTTTCTCTGACCAGTTTTCAAAAAAAAATTCTGTTAAGAGTTGTGTGGTACCCACAGGTGATCATGTTTTACTTGTTTACTTTTATTAGTTTTAAAAATCTGTAATTGTCTTGGTTAAATAGTAATTTTAATCCATAATCCTATTATAGTAAGCACTACTAAAACAGCAAAAGATTTTATTTACTAGGGTATAGTTGCGCTTAGAAAATTATAATGAGGGGTTTGAAGTTTTTCTGAAGGGGGAAGATAAAATATTTTAGGAGCTTTCGTATGTTAAGTAAAAAGTGCAGATCCAGATATGTTGTACTTGTTCTTTTAATACATTGTTAGGTATTCCTGTGGTAGTCGATGAAAGTATGATGATTAATGATAAATAATATTCCTCTTGCCATTCATTTGATTTGTGAGTAATTACCAATACCAGGCACGATTCCAAACATTTCTCATGTATTTTCATTTTTAAAACCTTAGATTGTCTATAGGTAGGAACTCTGAATTTATAGAGAAGGAAAGAGTAACATAGAAAGACTGGACAACTTGACCAAAGTTCACTGGCTGTGAAGCCAAGCTTCAGTACAGACTGTTTAACTACTTTATACTGTGCTCTATTCCTAGGCTATTCAGGAATGTTAACATTGAAGAATACAAGATATTCATAAAGTAAGATAAAATATTTTGGGTCAGGTTGTATATAGACACATGAGTAATAAACGCTGACATGGTTATAAGGAGGTCTAAGTATGGTCACACCCTCTAAAGCACAGAAATGTGATTGATTCATTCAAGTACTTACCAAGCTACCAACACTCTTTTCTAAAAGAGTGTTTCACTATTAGGGCTTAAGTTAACCTTTTTTTTTTCCCCCTCTTTCATGGAGACTTTCAAGAAAATCTTTATTCTTAAAAGTTGCATTTCACCTGTTTTTTTTTACTTTGTGTTCTCTTCCATTCAGATTTTCAGGAAATCTTATCACCAAATATTAAGAAATAAGATACTAGAATGTCAATTTTTCTTGCTTTAAACACACTGTATTTACATACATATATTTGTTTTTAGGGGGTGGGTAAAGGAAGCACTGCTGGAGACTGAACCTAGGGCCTCATGCCTAGTAGGCAAGTCCTCCACTACTGAGTCCCAGCCCTTTCATGCATTTCTGAAATTGCTAAAGCAAAAGAAGCTGGATTAGCTAAAGTGACTCTATTTATATAGTCCCTGACAAGTATCATGTTTATTAAAGGTTACCATGATGTGTAGTTTATATTGTTACTGCTATAAAATTGTTAATAGGATGTTCGTGGCAAAAAAATAACGAATTGGGCTTCCTAGCTGAATAGATTTTCTACAGTGTGTCATTTTAAGCTGTCACTGAGTATGGTTCAGCAGAATTTTTACAAAGAGAAATGGTTATCATATTAACTTTTAAAATTGATCCCTTGTCATTTTCTTTTATCTGTTTTGTTTGAAACAGTCTTGCTGTAGAGTCCAGGTTGTCCTTGAACTTGTGATTCTCTGTCTAGCCTCAGCCTCCCAGGTACCAAAATTATAGCAGTGTACGACCATTTCCAGCTCGTGTGTGTCTGTGTGTGTCTGTGTGTTTTGGTTTTTGTTTAATTGTTTTCTAAATGAATACCTCTAAAATTATTTTTGTTCTTTCCTTGGTCAGTTTGACAATCATTAATAAATGTCAGCAGAAGTTAGAACTTTTCTCCTATATTTTAACTTTTACATCTTTTAAAACAATTTTTTTATTATTTTTATTTTATGTATATGAGTGTATTGCCTGCATGTATGTGAGTGCACCTGTGTCATGCAGTGTCGCAGAGGTCAGAAGAGTGCTTAGGATTCCCCTGGAACTGGAGTTAAGGACGGTTCGTAGCAGCCATGTGGGTGCTGGGAATCAAACCTGGGTCCTCTGCAAGAGCAGTCAGGGCTCTTAACTGCAGAGCCATCTCTCCAGCCTCTGTTTTGGATTTCTTAAGGCACAATTTTTAATATAGATTCCAAATATTACAATTTTTACATATTTGGGATAATGAATTTTATAAAAATAAGTTTTAAATTTTAGAATGATAAATTACTAAAAAGTTGCAAAGATTGTACAAAGTTCTTATGTCCCTATCAGATTTCTCAGTTACAATTTATATTACCTAATATCTCTCAAAACTACTAAACCAACATTAGTCTATTACTATAAACTAAATCACAGATCATATTTATAATATCTCACTACTTTATTCTGTTAATTGCCTTTTCTTAGTCCAGGATTCAACTCAGGATACCATTCTCTACTTAGAGGTTGTTTGTTTTATTGAATTTCATGTTATAACTTGGAGGTAGTTAAAAATCAGGGTGGGTGGCTAAGTTGAATTTTCTTTTCTTAGTTTTTTTTTTGTTTTCTTTCAAAGTTTATACAGACTATTAAACTTTTCTAAATGGGTATCTCATATTTGCCACAAAGTAAAGCTTTTGATTTTGAAACCTGTTATTCCGAGGTAGAAGCCTGGAAGTCATTTTATTTTAAATTTATTTTTCAATCTTAAGTCTGTTAGAGAGGAGGACCTGCCCACTTTGTTCCACTCTTGGATCTGTGCTCTATTTCTTCACCACAGCCACATTACAGGTCTTCTTGCTTCTTGCTTGTTGTTCTGGGATCATCTGTTCACTTACCAACTTAATATTGTGTCCTTACATCCTTTCCAGCACTAGCTAGGACCTGGAGTTGCCAGTTTGACAAGCTTAAGTCCCTGCCCTCCTAGAATTTTACTGCTGTTTAATCCCGTGCCCTTAATCTTATTCATGCGTCCTAGGACTTCGTTATAGCCAAGGTGTGTAACCTTGTCACTCTTCTGATTTGGACCAGATAATTGTTTGTTAACAGGCTGCTGACCTTCACATTGTAGGGTGTTTATTAGCATCTCTGACCTCTACCCATTAAAGATTGAGAGCACTCCCCTCCCCATTTGGGCACTCAGAACAGTCTCTAGACATTTTGCAGATGTGATCTTGCTGTGCCTCTTTATCCCTGTGACATTGACCTTTCAGCTGTTGGATTGTGGTGTACTTTCCAACTTAACCTGCTATTTCTTCACCTGTACCTTTTTGGTCTGGCTTTTATGTATTACTTATCAGTTCTATTGTGCTTTTTCATTCCTTTGTCTCTACATACGCTTTATCTCTTTTGAATGTCCCTTTTTTTGTACATTCTGTGAACATCTGTTCATCTTTTTAAACTTAGCTTTCACTGTGCAAAATTAAGTGGTTGTAGTGGTTCTCTACTGCAAAATTAAGTGGTTGTAGTGGTTCTCTACTATTTGTGTCACATGATTGTGGCTGTTTAGTTATTCTTAATTCCTCTGTTATACTTTTAAGTCTTAACAATCAGAATGTTTCTTGCTTTTTGCAGGTAACTGATGTGATTTTTTTTATACTAGGTGGGACTAGTTCAGATGTGGGTATAGATTAAAAAATGAAAAATTGGTAGGAAGAAGAGAGACTTAGTCTAAGAGTAGTTTTGAAATAGGGGGCCTGGCTTTTAAGGTACTCAGGTTTATGAGTGAACTTGGTTATCAATTCCTTATCGTTAAACTATTTAAACTAATAACTACAAGTTAAGGACATTTGAGCGTGTCTCCATGCTGTCTTGTTTTTATTATGAATTACTTTTCTTGTTTTATTACTTATGGATCCTAACTGCTTTAATCTCCTTGTCCTTGATTTAAACTGTGTAAAGTAAATTGGAATTCAGTCTCCAAAGTCAGCTACTTTATAGCACTCTTTTCAAAAAAAAAAACAGAAACGGCCAGTCCCACCAATCTTTTTTGTTAGTAGGGTATTCATTTGCCTTGGAGAGAAATAGGAGTGTGTACTTGGCATAGTAGCATTTACTTTGAGATATTCACTTGCACCTATTTTCAGATATAGTTTATTTTGTATTTGTCTATAACACACAATCCTCCTTTAATAATAAATGGATAGAGGTAGAGGGAAATCAAGAAAGAATAGATTCATATAGAGAACACATAGTTAAGTTTATATATTCA